TATACCACCTCAAAATACCTACTAGTTCCTGAAAGGCAGAAAGAAGTTAAGAGTGTTTTGGCAAAAACAAAACTGGGGCTAATACCACACTAACACCAGGGAGGGCCCCTAGGAATGATATCTTGAATAAGTGGGGTGCTTTCTGCCACCTTACTGCTCTCTGAAGAAATTTCCCCAAAACACAATTCAGTTTTAATTTAACTGGAATTAACGTATATTAATAGCGGAAAGGAAAGCACTTCTTGGATTGGGAGGAAACTAAGAAGAAATTAGAGCAGGTTTTAGAACTGAATTTATTAATATTTGTTTGAATGTTCCTGGACATTTGTGGAATCGCCAAGTACATTTACAAAGCTATATAATTTGGCCATGATACACTCATTATTTTTTATTCAACATCAGGAGGCACATTAAGACTTGCCAATTTGTTCAGTAAATATTTATTGAGCACTTACTATGTACCATGTACTGATAGGAATTGGGGATGAAAGCCAAATGAGATGTGCTTGTAGTCTAATAGGAGAAACAGACAAGTAAAGAGATTATAAAAGTACAGGGGAGAGGAATATTATGAGGGTTATGAAACTCTGAATAGAAATGATAAGCTATTTCCCAAATATCTAATCCACAGAGGGGAAATCTTAGAAGGTTTACTGGAAGAAGTAGCATCTAAAGAGAAAATAGGATCTATAATCCTTACTTAGGGCTTACTCTGCATCAGGCACTGTCCTAAAAGCTTTATGTTTATTAATTCATGTAAATCCCCACAATAACCTTAACAGTGTGTATACTTCATATTACCTAAATTTTATATTTCAGGCAAATGCACAGGAACTTGCATAGGATCACAAAACTAGTGTCAGAACCCAGATTCTATGTTCTTAACACTTTCAGATTATTAACATGCTATATATTTAAGAAAATATGGAATAATTAGGACATATTATAAGTAATTATGACTTGATCTCACTGTGTTGATATCCGAGCCTGAAAGGAACAGTATAGAAACAATGTCCCATTAATTTTTAGGACTGCTTCAAATGTATGAGAGATTTTCCTTCTAGACTTAACCATATTCAGAAGGAAGGTTCTCGATATGTTATGACTGTTTTGCTTTTTAAAATTTAGCATAGCATGAGCTGAAGTCATCTAAAACAGTCACTAGTTAAATCAAAACAATGAGATACCATCTCACATCAGCCAGAATGGCTTTTATTAAAAAGTCAAAAAAACACAACACAACACATGTTGGTGAGGTTGCGGAGGAAAGGGAACACTCATACACTGTTGGTGGGAATGTAAGCTAGTTCAACCCCAATGGAAGGCAGCTTGTAGATTTCACAAAGAACTAAAAACAGATTTACTATTCAACCCAGCAATCTCACTACTGGGTATACAACCAAAGGAGCATAAATCACTCTACCGAAGAGATGCTGGCACATGTATGCTTACTGCAGCACTATCCACAATAGCAAAAACATGGAATCAACCTAGATATAGCAGACTGGATAAAGAAAATGTGGTCCATATACACCATGAAATACTACATAGCCTTTAAAAAAACAAAAACAAAAATCACGTCCTTTGCAACAACATGGATGCAGGTAGAGACCATCATCTCAAGTGAATAATCACAGAAACAGAACACTGAATACTACATGTTCTTCCTAGTAAGTGGGAGCTAACACTGAATAAGCATATGCACAAGGGTGGGAACAACAGACTCTGGGGCACTTCTAAAGGGGAGATAGAGGTAAGGGGTTGAAAAACTACCCACTGGGTACCAGGTCCTCAGTGATGGGCTCAATAGAAGCCCAAACTTTACCATTATGCAATATCCATGTAACGATCCTGCACATGTACCCCTTGAATCTTAAAAAAAATAGTAAAATAAGTAAAAAGTAAAAAATTAACAAAGCATGTACTAAAGTCACCTAAAACAGTCACTAGTTTAATTTCCTCATACTGTACTACTTTTTTTTTTTTAACATCTGCATGTAATATTCATGCCCCATCTCCTTAAGCGTGCTTAAGGGGTAGGAAGGTGAGATAGACAGATGAGTAGAAAAGGCTTAGAAAACACAGTTCCACAGTACCTATTATAGCTCTTTTGTTTATAGTTTAAACACTGAATTTCTTATGTCATTAGATACCTAGTGCTGACAGCACAGATTCATTTGAAAGACCCATTTATCAAATATGAAAGACCTTTCAGTCAAGTTCACATCCTATCTTATCAAGATATTTGTGTGGTTTAGTTATAACAGAAAGAAAATATTTTATTTTCAAACACTAGATTCCCATGAATGTAAATTATAGCCATGCACATAACGATCAGTTTAGATTTTAATGAACTATCTAGAGACCACAGAGTTAGTTAACTGACAAGAATGACTGAACTCACAAAAGTGAGGTAGTGAACATATTTGATTTATTAACCACACAGAGAATAGTGTATCTCACATAGGCTTTAACTCTTAAAAACCACTTAACATTGAACTCTAAAATAACCTTATATGAATAAGGAAATCAATACCTAAACACAAAAGGATTAACATAATTTTATTTGTAAGGCATTTTCCCTTTTTTTTCCTCTTTTAATTTTTATTTAAAATTGTGGAGTACAATTCAGGGCTAGGTATACAAATATTCACCGTGCAGGTACCCTTATCAATGAGGTGTGCATTTTCCTTAATGTCTTACAAGAAGAGGAGAGAAAATATCCAAATTTAATTTTTTGAGCTTTTATGAACACTTAATACTACATGAATTTAAAAAACAATTCTAGTGCAAACAGAAACCATCAATTTATTCTATAATCCAGTTCCTGTGTGTGAGAGGGCTGCCTATTTCCAAGGTTATGTTTGATTATTCTTTACTTACATCTGCTTGAACACCAAACCCAGTGGCTCTGCCTACTGTGAAAGGGTCAGTATGAACTCGATGTCACCACTGGCCATTGTCTTACCTCACTGCCCTCCCACCTTCTTGACACACCAGAACTTCTTACTGAAGTTATCCTGATTGTCATGTTCCTCAAATACGTTCCAATCTGGACTGTTCTCTCTTGTGGAAACTTCTTGGTTTCCATGACACTATACTCGCCTTTCAAGTTGCTTTCTCATTGTTGCCCTGTTCCTCCATGGATTCTTTTCCCTTTGCCCTTCCCTTATATTGGTAGGCTCTTGAATTTTCTTCTCTAGTCTCCTTTGTTGTTGTTGCTTTTCAGTTGCTGTTGCAATTTCATCCATTCTCATAATTTAAATGCCACTTCCTTGCTGAAAAAGCTCAAACATCCAGCAGACTTCTCTCTGGAACTCCAACATATATGCACCTCCAAAAATCTGAACCTGAATGTCTCACAGTTGTATCCTTCTCACTCATCCTCCACAAGTGATGCTCTATTTAAGATGCAAATCTAACCATGTTATCTCCTGCTGCAAGAATACAGTCCAGGTTCCATGACTAGAAAGACAAGGACTGTGAAGAGGTTGCCCCTCTTTTCTCTTCAGCCTTATCCATCTTGCCCCTCTTCTGGCCTTCCTTCAGCAACGCTAGATTACTGGCCTTGCCTGCACACCTCATGCAACCTCCCAGATGCTACTTTTTCTCTTCAGGGAACACTCTCTCCACTTCTTAAACTGGCTGACTCATTCCCATCCTTCAAGGCCCAACTCAGGCATCCTCTTTTTCAGAGGGTCTTCTCTGACCACTCCCCTTGAGCTCCACAGTTCACTGTGGCTTGCTCTCCCAGCATGTGCCACACGATAGGGAAAAGGTCTGTTTATATACGTCTTAGCTCATGGCTAAAATTTCTTATGTTGCTTCACATTCCTCTATTGCTCCTACCTCAGTCCTCACTAATCCTAATCTGGATTATTGTCAGTAGTGTCCTCAACTGCACTTTCTACTCTCTCCAAATCACTGCAATTACCACTACCAGATTAACCTTCCCAAAGCACAGAACTGGCTGTATGTTCCTTTCCTGGTCCAAAAGCTTCAATAGCTCCCTTTTCTCTACCACAGTGGTTCCCAGAGAGTGGAACATGCACCATATATGAAACAATTTTAGGTGGTACATAGGAGTAGCATTAAATGGTTCCAGATCACAGTATACAAATTTCCCTTGATCAGTTTTCTTTCAGTCCTAACTATGCCAGGGAGAAAGCTTGAACATGTATCTAGTCCTTGATAAACTCCTTTTAACAAAGAACAGGCCTCAAGCTAGAACCTCAAACAAGAAATAGGTGGACTTTAAAATATTGTTTTGTTTTCCACATATTTATTTTTATATTTTATTTTTAGAGATTTACTCTGGTTTCCATTTATAAGAGTGGCATAAGGCTTTCTTTTAGAATAAATTTAAGCCAAAAGAAAAGAGAAGAGTTGATTTAAAATAAAGTATTAAGTATATACTAGAACAAGTAGTACACACAAACATGGTACTGAGAGTATTGAAATGACTAAAGTGTGAGAAAGTCAGTCAATCAGGCCCTTCAGAAGTTACACTACAAACATAAAATCTCCAAACTTATATCAGGCTGTTATAATGTAGGACTGATGCTTCCTTAGGGTTCCTTATAAATCTGGCAACCACAATTAATCATTCTTTGTTCTCCATACATGTACCACTTTCCATCCTCCATGCTTTTGCCCACATTCTGCTTGGAATGCCTGGCTTCCTATTTATTCCTGCTGGAATCTTACAGTGCCCACGCTAAGTGCAATCTCCTTCATGAAACCTTTCCTCATCCTGTAGTCAGATGGATTTCTTTCACTTTCAGGATTCGAACAGAACTTTCTCTCTCCACTGTGCTTCCCATCACAGTTTTGATGATATTATAGGTATTCAAATAATTATGTTCTTACACTTAGATCTTAAGCTCTTTTGAGAGAGGGGAAGGAAGACCATAAATTGTATCCATTTTTATACTACCATAGCAAATAAAAAAGTGCCTCATACACGGAGTAGGCCCATAATTAATGTCTGCTGAATTGAATATAATATTTTAGGCAACATTCATGTAATACTTACAATTTTGCGTTTGATCATGAAGAGTGGAATTTTTGCATGAAGAGGAGTTGAGGACAGTTCCTTATGCACCGTTGATAAATACAATCTTCTTTTGATGTTTCCTAAATCAGTAATTCTGAAAAAAAGAGAAGAGAGAAGAAGGATTCCTATTAATTTAATAACTACTACTTTGGATAATCTTCAAAATGATAAAATTTATCAAACAGACCCTTTCCAACAGGGAGATCAAACACAGAATTGAAGAATTGCCTTTTTCTTTCTAGAAGTAATAAAATTTCTTCCTTAAATTCAAAGTGCTCACAAGACTGAATGTATGAATTCACTTAATATGCTAATTTATTTCGGTACTCGACACTAGATTTCCACAGTCCTCCAGCCTATGAAAAAATTCAATTTGTATGAACTGAGAAACTGCTAGCCTTTAATAACCACGCTTGTTCCAGCCCCTTAAGCTTGTGTTATCTTGGGACATACTGTCACCTACTAAATAGGAAAACATTATGGGTTTCTTTCCCTAAAAATGCACCTGTCATTTTATATAGGCTCTTAGTCTGCTTAGAGACAGCCACAAAACACTGACTGTCGGTTTCACTTCCTAAGCACATATCTTCAAACCAGAATTATAATACACAACTTTATTGCTCACTATTCAGGTCAATCCACAGTGATACCAAGGACAGTGAATGTGAACATCTTTAATAGATTTAGACCACAGTCATGATCACAAAGATTAGGTTTCCTTCAAATTGATAGAGGCTCATTTTTATGTTCTGCTTCCTTTAGGTCTCAGAGGTAACAGAGCAGGCTTAAAATCTCCAAACCTGTCTCAGGCTGCTATATTGTAGAGTTGATGCTTCCTTAAAAATTGTCTTTTTATCTGAGAATAAATTATTTTTCCCCATTTTTAGTAACTTTGTCTAGATATACTACACTGCTAATTTTCTACAATTATCAATTCCCTAAGGAGAAAACATTTCATTCAAATACACCGTTGTCAATATTTATAGTGCAATTAACTATCTAAAAAATCAACATAGCCTTTTCTATAGCCTCACTCCATGCCTCCTCCTTCCCACTTTTCTAATCTCATTAAGGCCTCCATCTAGAATACTCCACATAGCTCACTGTGGATAAACTATCATTAAACAATATTGAGAATATGGTAAACATGAAGTGAGATAATTTCAGAGCATGGCCCAGACACCAAAATTCTACCTTACTTACATTACATGATACGATAAATTCATTTTTTTATTTTTTTGAGTTGGAGTCTCACTCTGTCACCCAGGCTAGAGTGCAGGGACACACTCATGTCCACTCCAGCATCGACCTGCTTGGCTCCAGTAATCCTTCCGCCTCAGCCTTCCAAGTAGCTAAAACTACAGGCACACACTACCATGCCTGGCTAATTTTTTATTTATTGTAGGTCTTGCCAAGTTGCCTGGGTTGGTCTCGAACCCGTGGACTCGGGCAATCCACTTGTCTTGGCCTCCCAAAGTGCTGGGATTACAGGCTGAGGCACTGAGCCCAGCCAATAAATTCATTTAAAAAACAACAAACCTTTAAAGTCAGACCTAAGGTTTAAAATGCAAAAGTATTAATGCTACTATAGTATTATACTTTAATGTATAAGTAAATGTGGCATCACATTTACCCCAAGGCAGTGTCTTCAGAGTGGGTTAAGCACATGGGAGATGGTGGGGCATCCACTGAAGTGCAGGAAGAAAACATTAAAACTTCCATCCCAAGCCGGGCTCGGTGGCTCAGCCTGTAATCCTGAGCTTTGGGAGGCTGAGGTGAGTGGAT